GTTTGATTCCACCTTGTGATTTTAACACGGGCCTCATAGTTCATACAGAATCTGGTTGTCAACTGCTAATCATATTTTACATGTCTTTTAATCACACTCTTGTAACATGTATTACTACACTACACGCAATTTTTTGACCTACTTTTTAATGGTTTGTAAAATTCTTCTTCTTGACAATGCTCTTTGGAAAAATATGTCAAAATTTTAGATGAAAAAAAATTTGAATTTTATTAAATCTTGAATATACTGTCAGCTGCGTAAACAATTGCTTGTTTTTGAGGCATTTATATTGGCTTATATTTTATAATATTTTTCTGTATTAAAAAAAAAAAAAAAATATATATATATATATATATATATATATATATATATATATATATATATATATATATATATATATATATATATGTGGGCGCGTGTGAATAAATAATCACCAACCCAGTCCAAATAGTTATTGAAAAAAATTTGGACTTAGCATAGTAAAGGATTTGACTGTTATAGATGTGAAATAAGTCACCTTTATGAGCATGACAAGCCACAATTATAGTGAAGGGAAAAATGTTAGGTTCTATCTATGCAATTGGTTGTTTATGACGATTATATTCTGAGTTATTAACAATAAAAATTTAGTATTACAATTTATTATGTAAAATTATTCACATAAACATCATTTGTTCCATGTATTGTTTGAGATTTACATTTTTTGAAGGTGAGATATCAATAGATATATTTTTTGAGTATTAATAAGTAATTATTATACATTGTGATGCTCTAATTTATACCAAAAAAAATATTTCATGGGATTAAATATTTTTAAAGAAGCAAAGGTAGTGGCTTAAAAATATAATTCACTGAACACCATTTAGAAAAAGTCCATGGAACTTCTTGAAGATCACAGATACCATAAATTTATAGTGGAAAGTGAAAAGTTTGTGAGATAGAATATTTCAACAGAATATCCACAAATTGATACAAATCATATATTTTCTATCTACTTTTCGAGTCTTTCCGACCCATCCATTAAACTAAGCTTTTCTTGAAACTCTATCTAACACCAACAAAGGCCATTTTATGATCCTCTTTCGAACCAAAAAGCAACCAAAGTGAGAGGCATGGAATGGAACACCAGCACGTGGTTGGGAGAAAATAAGATGAAGACGAAAATGATGAGGTCATCAAGAAAATGATAGAAAACAGAGAGAGAGAGATAGGAGAAAGGTTGGTCATGGAAAACAGAAAAAGTAGATGAAAGAAGGAATGAAATGCAACGTTTTTATTTCCCACGCAACAAACCACCAAGGACTCGCCGGTGTAGACGAGATATTCCCCTGGAAGTCATCAATCATGTGTTTCCAACATGGACTGTAAGAAAATGTTATCTTTAACATCGGTGACATTATAATACGAGGAAGAGAATTGGTACAACGTAAAAGGATGCATTGTCATAAATATATGAGATTAATTTAATAAATATAAACTGGGGTACACGTTGGAGTACTATTAAAAAGTGAGGTGAATCATATTCTACAGTGCTAAAGGGTGGAAAAGAGAAGAAGTGTGGTATTCTGCAGTGCATCATTTGATGGTATCCACTGACCTCATTCACTGCACTGAAAACAGTACAAGTTAGTTCTGTCAAAACACAGCCACCCTAAGATCTGATAAAATATCCAAAATAAAACTAACATTTTTGCATTTTTCATCTACTTGAAAGGTTGAAAACTGTTTGAGCTCACCACGTTTTTGTAATTTTGAGTAAAAGAAATTAATGGTGGAATTCTTACACTGCACACTCTTTACTCTATAGTTGTTTCTTAGTTGGATTTCATTAGGGAAGAAAAGTTAAAACAAATATGTTTTTTTTTTCTTAGATAAAAGTTCAAACTTTGATTAATTCAATATTTTCTTTATTTTTTAAAACATAATTAATTACATGAAATAATATAATACATTCATGTTTAAGTTTCGATATCTAGACGAAAAATGGTGGAGGATAGATTTGCAGAATTTTTTAATATAGTAAATTTTAATTTTAAAAAAAAATCTATCTTTTCATTTGAAAAAAATGAAATATATAATACATAATGAAATATCTAAAACAACGTATGGATTATATAATAATTTTTTAAACAAATATATTGGAAAAAAGAGAAATTATAATTATAAGAAATGATTTTAAAATAATATTAAAATAATAATTTTTTTAATATTAATTTTTTTACCTTTTTTCTTTTATTCTAAATAATTTTAATTTCTCATTCTCTTTTACTTTACATTTTTTTAAATTCATTCATTAATCTAAACCCACCCAATATTTTCTAGTGATAGTTTAGTTCACTATCACATGTACAACAGGGTCTTTTATGATTAATGTCTTAAATTTTTTTTTTAAATTGTTTTTGTTGAAAGTCTCACATCGCCTACCTCATGTCATTTGATATGGTTTAAATATGTTAGGTTAATCCACATATTGTCAATTGGTTCTATGTTGTAACCTTAACATGATATCAGAGTCAAAACCTAACATCTTTCCGGTTATGTTGGGTCAAAAATACCATTTGCCTAGTCCGGCAACCTTCGTTGGAGAGGGTGTGTTAAAAGTTTCATATCGCCTACCTCATGTCATTTGATATGATTTAAATACATGTTAGGTTAATCCACATATTGCCAATTGATTTTATGTTGGAACCTTAACAATTTTTTTAACAAATAAGGAATATTAATACATGTAAAGGGATAATAAGAAGAAATCTTAAAAAATATATATATTTAACATTGAATCTACTCAAAATGACCAAGTTTATTAAAAATGGATAATTAAAATAACCGATGAAAATTACTTATAATAAAAAAATAAAAAAATTATGATACATTTTTATGTCAAACTTCCTACTACATGGAATATTTTTTATGTACATTATTTTTACATCGGACACAACATTAACATGAAATACATAAATTTACGTGAAACATAATTATCGACATAAATTTTATCATTTTTTTAATATTTGGTTGTTGTTTTACCTTTAGTCTAAATTCCATATTTTTAATAGATAATAATTCAAAAATAAAACAATATAATATAATACAAATTATCTAAATTAGCATAAAGACTAAATTACTTAAAAAATAAACATTATAAAGCTAAACTAATACATAGTTTAAACTAGTATAAAAACTAAGTTACCTAAATATTAAAGTACATATTACAATACAAACAATAATCATCAAACTAAATACTAAAAATGTTGAACGAAAAACTTTGTTCATTGCTCTCCGACGAGTAGAGATGAATATTGAAATATCTGAATCATTAATTTGATTCTTGTTAATATGTAATACACATAAAGTTAAATCAACTTAATAAATATTGAAAACAATTATCTTCATTTAAGAATCAGTTATATCTGCACAGACTATTTTCATCCAATACATGATATAATAGCCATACTCAAAAGAATATATTTACTTATTACACTCGAATTGAGAAAAAAAAATACAGGAATATAGATATTATAATAATATAACTTTTTTTTCTTTTTCACTACTTTTGTCTATTACACATAGTTGGGAGCATATTTTGCAAAAATTATTAGGACAAATTCCCTTCTAACTTTTGCCCCATCTTTTTTAGCTTTTCTTTTCGTTTTAATATATTGTGCATTCAAATATGATATGGAAGTCAAAACTTATCATTGTGTCGAACATTTTCTATTTTCTTTTCATTATCATAAAACCTTATATATTGTAGTATTTTCTCTTCACATCATACCATATCATTTTCTTCTTTACTTACTCGTTATTACTATTATATAATTAATATAAAAAAAATAAAAAATATATAGAATTTAAAACTAAATAATGAAAACATAAAAATATAATATATAAACAATAAATTCACTCAAACACATGGAGAAATAATCATAAACTATAACAATATAATAAAATATAGTGTATAAACAATAAATTCACTCAAACACGTAAATAAATAATCATAAACTACAACAATACCATATAAATCTCCTAAAACACATAAACGAATAACCTCTCGATAGAGAGAAATGTTAATGTATCTTCAGGGCAGAATCTAACATTTAGCAATTGATGTAACTGTTTTTCTATATTATCTCATTTCATATAATAAAAATAATTATATTTTATCTGTTATTCTAAAATAAAAATAGTTATATTTTATTTGAGATTACACAATAAAAATAATTATATTTTATTTGATAGAAATAACACTATTTTATAAACTCATACAAAAAATAGTTAGAAAAACCTCTTTATAATACAAAATAGATATAAATATATATTAAAAAATAAAAAATGTTACGGGTAAAAATCTTGATGAAAATGCTAAAATCACAAATATCATTAAACAAATTAATAAATTTCTTATAGATCATAAAATTAATCTCCCATATTATGAATAGGGAAAGTATGTTTTTAACTTAAAAAGTTAATACTGTAACGGAAGACGAGAAAATCAACAAATTCTGTTACAATATTGAATAGTTCATATAGTGTGCCAGTAACAATTAATAGAACTGTTTATGCAACATATATTTATTTTGTAATTAAAGAAAATAGAAAAAAAGAAAATGGGATGGTTGGCGCAATCAGTAGATATGCTAATTACAGTGTGATTACTGCTGAAATATTCATATACAGTGGGCGGCTTCGAAGTTAGAGGTGGAAAGTTCTCCCGGAACAAACAAAGTCATACATTGTATCTTTCTAGATACACTCACGCGCCTTTGGTCCCTTCTCAACTTCCAAATCGCATCTCATACCATCAATCTAAACCCACTGGTTAAATATATATAACCCTCGTCACAATGCGGAAATCCGCAGCAGACAGATTCAGGCACCTATTCAACCGATCACTCCTTCTTCTTCCTCACCATCACAATCATCCTCCCTTTCCTTCTTCTTCTCTCTCTTCATCCTCTCCATTTTCTCCCTCTCGTTTCTTGTTCGCTGCTTCTTTTTCTTCCATGGCTTCTGATTCCCCTTTCCCTGTCACCGCTCGAAACATCAATCCCAAGGTCTGTGCCGCCTTCAATTCTCTTTTCACTGCCACCCCGGTTGTTTTATTTTCTTTTGTTTTTTCACTTCTGGGTGGGGTGTGATAAAGTTGCAAGCTTTGAACTGTGTGATCGTGTTATTTTTATCTGGGTATGCGTGATATCTAGTTTATCTTTGAGGGGTTTGCTTTGGGTTTTTCTTTCTTAGTTTTTTCATGCTGTGTAACGTGGTTATTTGTCAAAGGATCGACTGTTGATTAAATTATAGATGTTTTAGGTTCGAAAGGGTTGCTGATTATTATTGTTGTTGATCTGTGACTCAGGTTGACACTGATCTTTTTTCTCCGTTGTTTTCTGTCTAGTGGTGTGACCGATGACCGAGTTATACCTCATTTTTCTACTTTTATATGCCCAATTGTATGTTTATTCGCTTCGCAATTGTGTTCAACCCTGGGTTTGGTGGAATGAATACGCAAAAGAGATATATCTTTTTGTGACCATACTTCCGATTGAGGATATAACTTTGTTGTACGGTTTATACTATTTTAAGGATTTTGAAATGTTTTATTTATTTATAAAGTGTGATCATCTGAAAGAATATTTTCCCCACTAGTTTTTGCTTTTTCAGCTAAGTTGGTTATGATGTCACCAATTTTCATACTTTATTTGCTGATTTGAAACTATGCTTTTTTGTTGTCTAGGTTTTGAAATGTGAGTACGCTGTTAGAGGAGAGGTTGTCACACTTGCTCAGGTACGTGATTTGACTGTACATGTTAAAATCCGACCATTCACCGAATAAGTATTCTTGTCTTGGTTTATCCCAAGATGGATACATTTTATACCTTAACATTGACAAAATAATCGGATAACTGATATACTCAATTATGAGTATGGCTTTTACAGGAATATAGTTTGAAATTGATCACTTCAGAATTTTCTATGGGTAATTGTTATAATATTCTTTGCTTACAACACCTTAATGTTGCAGAATTTGCAGAAGGATTTAAAGGCCAATCCCGGTTCTCATCCATTTGATGAGGTACTTCTATTTTTCAACTTTATGACTTCTGAAGTAGAACCTTGTATTTTTTACTCTCAGGGAGATATCTAAGGGGTTCTATAAAGCTCCTTATATACAAGGTGTTCATATGAGGGGTGAACCCACTGTGTAGAAGACAGCGTTATCTTGTATTAGTAAAATTTTAATAGGTTTATTCCACAACTTGAACATCTGAAATTCTCATCACACGGTGAAAAGTCCAGTTATTGTCCCACGGTTGTTCTTCTATGATTTACTATTTCTTAATTCTTTGGATCAAATGTATTAATTGGGATGCAACAATATAAATGGATAAAGGTAGTTGCATGAGTTGGTTGTTGTAGTATTAACATTTCAACTTTTCTTGGATATGCTTCTATTCTGCATCACTCTAATCATGAGACAGTTTGTAATTGGAATAGGGAATCTTCCATTGGGCGTTTGTTTTGAAAAAAATGATCGATGAAATAAACCAATTCCGAAGGATAGATTTTAACCATTTTGGCATAAGAGGTCTAATTTTTATGATGGAATAAATATAAAATGTACTTTTCTTTTTATTTTAAAATATCCCCACCCCCATCCCCATCCCACCCAGAAATAGGTTGAGGGGGATAAACCTATATGTAATTTCACTAGACTTATGCTTCATTAAGGTATTACACTACTTTTGTTTTGTTTTGTCTTTTCCTCTGACTTTTCTTTTATCTGAGTATAGATACTTTACTGCAACATTGGAAATCCTCAGTCTCTTGGCCAGCCTCCAATAACCTTTTTCCGAGAGGTTTGCCTTATATAAATTTTTGTGGTGAATGTAGCAATGTACAAATTAAGTAATGCTTATTATGACAATCTCATCTCTGTCAGGTTCTTGCATTATGCGATCATCCAGCTATATTGGACAAAAGTGAAACACATGGTTTGTTCAGGTACCTGGATAAAAATAAATAAAATAACTGGCAGCATAGATAACTAGTCACAGTGAAGCTTCTTGATGGAAGTAATGTATTAGAGTATGAATCATTTGCCTGCAGTAGCTATTGTTACTAGCAATGGTCTTGGAGCACTATTTTTCAATTTGATTATAATGTATAACAAACTTCTGTCAAAACTTATGAGCATATAGAATAAAGAATGCAAATTGAATTTGAATGTGTCAGTGGTGTTTTTAATTCAGTTTTGCAATGTTGTAGTTTACTATCAAGTGGAACAAAAAACAAGTTCCTTTTGTTACTGGTGATTTGGTGTAACATGACCTTTGTCATATTGCAGTGCTGATGCAATAGAACGAGCTTGGCAGATTGTGGAACAGATTCCTGGTAGGGCAACTGGTGCCTATAGCCACAGTCAGGTACTGAATGGGTTGTCAAATTTGTTTTATTTCTTTGCTATACGGGATCAGGCCTTGAAATTGTTCATATTTCCATGTCAGGGTATCAAGGGTTTGCGTGATACAATAGCTGCTGGGATTCAAGAGCGTGATGGTTTTCCTGCCAATCCGGATGACATTTTCATGACAGATGGTGCAAGCCCTGCAGTATGCCTCTACTCTGCCTTTGACATTTATTATATGGAGTTAAATTATGATGAGAGTTTGTTTCATTCATAATCTGAATGAGTTTTAAAAATGATCATTTCTATGCTTTCAGGTCCATAATATGATGCAATTACTCATTAGATCAGAAAATGATGGTATTCTGTGTCCCATTCCACAGTACCCTCTGTACTCGGCCTCAATTGACCTCCATGGTGGTTTCCTGGTAATGTTTTCTTCATACATTTCATAGTGCAAAATTTAATTTGGTCACTGTTTAGATGCACTTCGTTTTGATGATGTTATTGATTATGTGCCATATTTGAAAGGACAAATAAGAAAAATGGTTTATGTAGAAGTTTGCATAATTTGGTCACTTGAAATTTTGAATGTGAACTATTTTGATATAATACTTTGGTTGGGGTATCATCTTAACTTTAGTATTTTTTTTTTCTAAAGGTACCTTATTATCTGGATGAAGCAACAGGTTGGGGGTTGGAAATACCTGAACTCAAGAAGCAATTGGAGGCTGCCAAGTCTAAGGGAATCAATGTTAGGGCTTTAGTTGTTATAAATCCAGGCAATCCAACGGGGCAGGTGAGCCGCAAATTTTCAAGTAGTATTAGGGGATGTTTCAAAGAGTTTATGTGGAGCTTATTTGGGTTGATTAAAATTAATTATGATTCCTACAAGCTCTTTTTAGTTTATTTCAATTCTTTATGGTCAAATTGATGATAAGATGAAAGCTTATTTAAGTACTTAATTAAGCTGTATGTACTCAAGTCCTAATATTGGAGGATGCCCAATGCTTAGAAAGCAAAGCTTTATTGTTAATTTTGGTAACATGGATTTTCTGTCATGCTTCCAGGTTCTTTCTGAGGAGAATCAGCGGGATATAGTAGAATTTTGCAAGAGAGAAGGTTTGGTTCTTTTAGCTGACGAGGTAAATGGATCATTCTTGAAGATCTTAGATATTCAATCAAATTTATTTTAAACACATTTGCATTTCATGAACCTTGTTTGGCATATACCATTACAAGCATAATACTATTTTGATGCACGGAATTCATTTTGAAGGTATATCAAGAAAATGTTTATGTTCCTGACAAGAAGTTTCACTCATTCAAGAAGGTATCTCGGTCCATGGGATATGGTGAGAATGACATCACCTTAGTATCATTTCAATCAGTCTCTAAAGGTAAGATGGTACAAAGTTTATTATAACGCGATGAATATAGTTTTATGCTAATAAGTGATCAATATTGATGAAAGATGCCATTTTCAGGTTACCATGGGGAGTGTGGGAAACGAGGAGGGTACATGGAGGTGACTGGCTTTTCTGCAGAAGTGAGGGAACAAATATATAAAGTGGCATCTGTCAACCTTTGCTCTAATATCTCTGGTCAAATTCTTGCAAGCTTGGTCATGAGTCCACCTAAGGTTAACTCCTTGCATCTTCCAAGTTCAATTTCTTTTTGGGGAATACTTCTTTAGTTTGAATATTTAAAAGAACATTGAACACAATTCTGATCATTGTAATAGTGCCAACCTAGAATTAACATATCAGGAGTACCCTTGTGCTAGAGAGTGTACATGATGAGTTGGAAGGACATACACAATTATTGAGGCATTACCTTTTAAGAATGGTACCTTTTTATTCATTAATTGAAATGTTGCGTTTACTTAAATCCAAAATATCCCTCAAGTCATTTGGAAGGCACGTCATTTGGTAGCCCCTGTTTGTATTTATAATAAACAAAATGTAACACAACTGACAGTGCTATTAAATTATTCTAAACTGTGTTTCCTTTTACTTCATGAGCACATGGATTTTGTATAAAAATTTCACCATTTCTGTCATTCCATTACTAGTTTGATATTAATGATGTCTTTCACACTCGACATTCAATGATTGCCTGCAGGTTGGAGACGAGTCCTATGAATCATTCATGGCTGAGAAGGAAAATATTTTGTCATCGCTTGCAAGGCGTGCAAAGGTTAGTTTACCTTGGAAATAAGTTGATAAGAGTAACATTTTAGAACATCTCTAAGGAACCAACCCTTCGGCCCAATGCATGTAAGGATTTGCTTAACATGATGGTGCACTTTTTCTCTGAGGTCCATGTTACACTATCAAAGTTCATTTTGAAGGGATTCTCTCGCACTATGGGAATGACTACCATAGTCTCTAAATTTCTTACAATTTTACCACCCCATTTACACTTTTACCAAGAACCTTAACCAGTTAATTTTTGCTTTCTGCTGCTATATATTCGTAACAGACACTAGAAGATGCAATCAACAAATTAGAGGGTGTAACATGCAACAAAGCAGAAGGGGCAATGTATCTGTTCCCCCAAATTCGCCTGTCCCAAAAGGCTATCAAAGCTGCAGGGGATGAAAATACTGCACCTGATAACTTCTATTGCAAGCGCTTGCTTAATGCCACAGGAGTAGTAGTTGTTCCTGGTTCTGGTTTTGGACAGGTTAGTTTATATGTATTATCTTTTTTGTAAACGCCTTCTCTTGAACACATGACACATTTATTTACTGCTTAACCAACACAATTTTGTATTGGTTCCAACTAAGTAGCATTTTCCACCCTTTTGGTAATAATAAACTGATTGTATTGTTAAATTGTTGTTGTGTTTTGCAAGGTTCCTGGCACATGGCATTTCAGGTGCACCATTTTGCCTCCAGAAGAAAAGATTCCAGCCATTGTCTCCCGTTTGACAGAGTTCCATGAAAACTTCATGAATGAGTTCCGTGACTAAGGTCCTGCTTCTATTTTTCATCCCTCAATACAAGGGTACCCAATTGAAATTTGATGAGGATGGATTTTGTACTTTAGAGAAAATAGGTTCTTTAGTTTTTTTCTAGAATAAAGTTGTGAACTGAACTGGTTGATGCATATTGAATATGCAAACGTGAAAGCATATTTGGATTTCTTCACTCTTATACTTCCTTGTATTAGGTTCTACTCGTATATTACTACATTTTTATTTAAATGAACATTTTTCGAACCAACCTGTTAAGAGGAACATTCAGTAAAAGTTAAAAAAAAAAAACAAACTTTTTTACTAAAAAGTATAATATTTAATATTACTATTGTGTTTTTTTACATATTTTGAATAGTTTTTTAATCATTATTCAAAGATGAAAAGGGTAATTGGAAACTTGGAAAGTATACGTCTTTGTTCACTACAGGGTTCTCTGGTTGGCAGTTTCTGTTCACGTAGCCATATGACGGAAGAAATCTGAAAAGCAGGGACAGGCTTTATTATTTGCTTGTCAAGTTTGGATTTTTGCAGCTCCTAATCCAAATGCTAAACGACACAAGCATAAGAACAAAACAAGCGAAAAAAACAACAAATCCACAACCCTTTTCCTTCATATTTTTCAGGTTTCGGATCCATTGTCTTGTCCCATGAGTTTGACATTCACTGTATATTGCATGGACTTGTCAAAGTGCCTTTCAAATTCTCCTTATGCAAATATTTTTCTTCTTTTTTTATTTTATCTCCCCTTTCGTCCTAAATTATAGTAGTTTTAAATGATTGATGTCTAAATTTTAGCTGAAATATTACTTTCTTATTTTTAATATGTTCTTAAATTAGCTAATTTAATGCTTCTATTTATAGTTAATAATGTATTTATTGTTTGAAATTATTTAAATAAAGATTTTGAGGAAGAAGACAAAATGAGTCGAGTGCGCTCGTCTCCGGTTTGTAAAAAATGGGATGGGACAAACCGACCCATTATAATTATGATGAGTTATAGATCTTGATTCGTCCCGACAAAAGATGAGTTTGAGGTTTATCAGCCATAATTTCTAAAAATAATAATTTAATTTTTTTAAATCAAAATTTTCAATATATTTAATAATAAAATTATCAATAATTCAACATATATATTCCAAATTAATAATATAAATTAATACATTATTTTAAGAAATTATAATTTAGAATAATAATAAAATTTATATAATAATAAATAATAACAAATATATAAATAATATTAAAACTTGTAAAATTTATATTTTTATATTGAAAAATGTAAATATCTATATCTTTTTTATTTGATAAAATTTCATATTGTTCTCCTTTTGAGTAATTCTTACACCTTTAATTCAAGTGATAAGGATAAGAGATAAACAAAGAGAAGATAATGAGAGAAGAAGAGAGAAAAACTTGTGTTTGACTAAGAATAATATTTTCTATAATGAGTGAGACTTTTTTAATTCATTTTTTACAATTTGTAACTTTATATATTATCTTTATGATTATCTCGTATTATAATAAAAAATTTACTTTTTTATAATTAGACGAAGGCTGACTCGTCTCCCTCTCTCGATTGGCCCATCCCCTCTCGACCAACGGATTGACGTGCTTGACAGGAAAAACCAAAATGAACTGATTGGTTGAAAACACAAACCTGTCCTACCATATTACAACAGACTAATCTTGACATTTTTGTCATCCTTAATTTTGTATTATTATATTTTAAAAAAATGCTTAATAATATAAAAAAATCACTTTTCATATTATATATACATAATAAATATTAATTTTGAAGAATAATAAAAATGGTTAGATTAGTTAATTTTAATTAAGTTTAGTGATGCCATAATGTAATTTTATTTGAGTAAATAAATGAGTAAATAGTTTAAGTAATAAATTATATCTGGCAAGTATAATTAGTATAAAAAAAATCATATAACTTGTTCCTTATATGAAGAAGCAAAGATAACATGAAATAAAAATAAAGCATTTTAAAATTTCAACAAATAAAATTTTTGCTTTTATTAAATATTTGTATCCTTGACAAGTCTCTTTCTTTAGACACTCCCAACAACACTATCTTCAATGATGGTTGATATTGCAAGGGAAGCACCCACATGAACTTGGCTTTGAAAAGTGTGAGTTATGTTTATGAATCATCTTCTGAGCTTGTTCAGTGGCTTTCTGGATTTGATCCAAATGTTGTTGTCTTGCTTCTGCTCTCCACTCCTCAGCCTTCCGGTGAACCACTGACATCCTCTTCATCAACTTCTCTTCTAGGTTTGATCTCATCTTCTGTATCTTCACCTATGCAACATTTTCAATATTATAAAAAAAAAAATGCTTAGTTTCAATAACATGATTTTAAAGTTCAAAACTTGGTAATCTGTAACAGTACTACTTCTAGTCATATTCATGTTTTCAATGCTTGTGTGACCTAGAATCAATTAACTATAATAATAGAAGCTGAAAAAGACAATGTGCCTTGAAGTTTTCAACTTTGGAATTTGTTTTTATTATTATGGTCTATACCACATAGAACAGTAGATTGATTCCCTATCCACTACAATCCATTGTCCAGCTGTCCACCTTCTCAACCAACCAGTTTTCACAAAGTTTTGCTTCTACCCATCTTCACTTAACCAAACAACACATTCAAACACAAGTAAATTTGGAATCAATTATAATAGTCTTAATCATAAAACAATGGAGGAAAAAGAATAACATTATTCACCAACATATTTCACATATATCTCTCAGAGTATTACCATAACCCTTCTAAACTCAATTTGAATCCTAGCAATTCATACTACCCGAAATTTCCCACATGAATGAACACATCAAGTAGTTGGTACAAGTCATTCTGAACTTTATCTTTTTAGCCAAAGATTCTGCCTTTTTAAGTAAAGTCTTAGACTCAATAATCAGCAAAATAAAAAAAATATTCACTTTTATCCAAAAATAAAATAAAAGACTATGAACATTACTACTTCTAGGTTAAATTTGTTGTTTTTTCAAATAAGAGGGAAGCATGAAGATGAAATTGTATTTGATTAAGGAAGAGTGAGAATTGGAGAGTGGACTGGTCAAGAAAACAATAATATAATGATGGTATGCCATGAGTTGGGGGTGGCTCGAGGAATAGGTCACCAACATGCCCACCAAAGGCAAAGCATTGAATTGTGGTCAAAAGTTAGTGATAGCCAGTGTACAATAAAACTTTAAAGTTTATGCATAGTTGGTTTTGTATGTGTTGAGGACAATAGACTACACCATGTGCATTTACACAGGAACCAACTCTTACAAATGGTTCAAACTGCTTCCAAAAGTGTAAAGTTTCAGTAATAGATTATCTTGTACTTTCAAATTCCTACCATTTTTCAAAATATGGAGGGAAAACGTCCTTTACATATTACAGTATTACAAAATTGGATTAAACATTTCGGTGTATTTTAACTTTGATTACAATGAATATTTTTATTTTTATCCCCTTCAAGAATTAGAATCATGTTTAGTCTCTAACATTCCATTTAAGACAAGTAAATAACATCTTTCTAGATTAAAAAATTGAGTCACACATGACATGATACCACAGTATAAATATTGTCTGGTGAGAAATAATATAACCTTTCTTAAACACAAACAATAACCAGTTTCATATAACTATAAAACTAAAAGCATAGATTCAAAATTTTGGAAATCTACATACTAAAAGAAAAAACTTCTTAAAAGCTAAAATCAGATTTATTCATTTTATATGTAGACAAAACATGCTTAACCCTAAAAAGTTTAAGAGGACTTTATCTCGAGATCGGTGTTTAACTTGTACTACTAATATTTAATTTAAGAGAAGGTGTTAACCTACTCTTAGTTGTTTTAGCATTCAACAATTACGGCTATTAACCTATGGCTTAAATTAGCTTGTTTATACATCTATGGCTTAGAATAGCATTTGATACTTGTTATTTATTGATGACGCACTTTTTGTAGTATTTTTTCCTCTTTATCTTCTTTTATTATACCACTAATTTTATTTCACATTTCTCTTTTCTGCCTATTTCTTTTATTGTGCAAGAAGCTGTACAAATTTGTTATACAATATATAGTCTATGGATGACAATGAAATACCTCAAGCTTTCTTGACCTGGCCTCTGCTTTAGCACTTTGGAGGTTTACCCAAGCTTGGATTTTTGCTTCTTCTCTCTGATACCTATAACAACTCAAAATCACAATTCAGTTCCAGCCATACATATATGTCCGATGAAAGTAGAGAAAATTATAACAAAATATTTTGTAACACACTCTACTAATTCTCAAGATATATTAGAAATCACAAAATTTACATATTTCACTTTTAATTAACTTGTTTATTACTTTGAAAATGGTTTGGAAAGAATGCATTAGAATGTTTGTTGCAATGCAATATACTGAAAGGTTGAGTTACCTTAAACAACACTTGGTCTTCTCCTCTTCTTCCCATGAAGCAGCTATGCAGTCTGAATCAGCTTTGTGGCTACCATTATGCCTCAAGCTTTTTGATATTTCTTTTTCTTCCTCTTCACTTGAGCTCCAATTTGAAGTGACTATATCGTACTGTGTTCCTAGTTGCAGTTTTGAAAAATGGCACTCCTCCAGCTGAATGACATCAAGAGTGCATGCAGTGCCAGCCAAGGCTAATGGTCCTGACCTACTTGCAGGAGTGTTGTGGCGAGGAGGTGATGAAATCTTAACTGGGGTGTGGCATCTTGAAGTTGTGGAACTTCCCAAAGGAGTCATCTCAGTCCCAATATCTCTATGTTGAACCACTTCTGTGCAAGCATCTTGCATTGCCTCACCACCTTGGTTCCTAAACAAGAACCCTTCCTTGGCCGGCTCGGAGTATCTCAAATTTGGCAAAATAGGCTCTATGCTGTCCGTGAACTTATCTGCATTGCAATTCATTACATGTCAACAACTTGTCATACCAGTAAAATTGTATAGTCTATTATTCATATTGTGTTCTATTCAATTTCAAATACATTTAACACAAACTCCTGAATTCCAACTATTGGGAAAATTGATTGAAAATCACAAAACTTTTAAATTTCATTTTTTATTTAATGAATTCCACTCAAGATTTTAGGCTAGGTTAGAAGTTACAATAGTATCAGAACAAGCTTCCTTCATGCTCAACAGAAGTTTCAGCCAAAAAGGAAATCTGAATCTGGACTTTTTTCTTTAATATTGAACCTAACCACAGTTTAAAGTCTATGAAATTAAAGAATATAATAAAGACAAAAGGGAAAAGAAAGAGGATGATAACGATGGCTAAAAGGGTTGATTGACAAAAAGTAATAAAGAAAAAATAAAGAAGGGAAGAAAAGAGGGATAAAGTCAAATTTTGAAGTTAAGACTGTGATCTCCCACCTTTGAGTACGATTTCTTTAACACCATGGAAAGCGCTGAGTGCGTTATGGTGGTGGTCCAAAGAAGGAGACCAGTGGAAGTTTGGGACAGCTTTGGACACCCTTTCTTCTGTGACCCTTGATTTCTCCGAGAAATTTTCCATTTGATGCTTAAATCCAACATCTTCACATTGTTGTCTGGTTGCAACCTTCGAGGAGTCTGAGACTGAAACCTTGGGAGTGTTGTTGTGAGCAGGTGAGTCATGGCAAGAAGTGCTCATGAGCCATTTCTCTGCATCATCCCACTTGGAAGGGAAGCTCTTTCTTGGAAGGCCAGAGTTGAAGGTGAAAACTGGTCTCCCAGGAGTGGAGGGAGCCTCTAGTAGTCTCTTCTGTTGTGAAACAGAGTGGCCTCTGCTTTCAGCTCTGCCACTAGGCATAGGCAATGACTTGACAAACTCAGAGGTTTCCTTCAGGTTGAGCTTGCAAAGTGGGTCAGGGAAGTCATCTGCAAAAGGGTTGTCTTTGCTTTTCCCATACATGCTCATGTTGCTCTCAGAGAGTGCTTCCTGGGTCACAAAAAAGAGAAGAAAAATGAGTAAGAAAAGCCTTTAAAGAACATTATTAAGTGTGGCAATATATTTACCCCATGTGGTGCCACTGCCACTGCCAATGCAGATGGGGATTGGAAGAATTTGTGGCTGGGGAGGTCCATAGCATGGCACAGTGAAATTGAACTTGTTGGGGTCGGTGATGTGAGAGAAATGGGAATGGAGTGAGTGTCTCTAGCGTGGCTCTGTTACTTGCAAATTTTGCATTAGTTTCATATGATGTGTGTTGAACAGTGTGGGTCAGGGGAAAGTGACCATGGAGGCAGTGGAACAGAACAGCATACTGAACAAGGAAAAAGGATGTTAGACTTGGTTGGAACCGGGGTCTATGGTAAGTACACTAATGACTTGACTCACATGCAAGGAGCCAAATAAACAGACCTGTTTTCATGCCACTGTGTGTGTGTGTCTCAGACCTCACAAACCCTCCTTAGTCTTTTCTATCTCCAGGAGATGGAAGGGATGAACAAGGGAACGAAAGAAGAACCCTTTGTTAGTCTTGCACAGGAAATAATTTAAGAAAGAACATCAAGGTGAAAAACGTATTATATAAATAATTATATTATGTGTTCTATCTATCTGTCACATCAATCACCCTACCACATATTTTTCTACAGTAAATTTATATTCAAAATAGATTTCATGAGATTTTAAAAACTCTGAATTTTTTTTTATAATATATCATTTTTCTGTTTGTAGTATAGAGTATTTAAATTTTGTGTCAAAAAACACTTATACTAAAAGACTTAATTTTCATCAATTTTTAATCATTTCTGACTTGTACGTAACTATTTTTCTTAAAAGGATGCTGCAGTAAAAAAGAACAATTCTCCTAGAGTAAAGAAAGTACTTCTGAATATTTTTATGCTTACAATGGTAAATTTAAGCACTACTTATTTACTTATTTAATGTTTTTTATGGAGTATTACGAGAATAGTTCGAAACTTTCATGAGGATAGGAATCTCTCGACTTTACTAGGGTTGGTTTTTGTCTGTGAATTTCGATCCTATATTTTAGTTTCCAACTAGGATACTGTGTACAAGGTGTCTCTTTTTTTTTTCACTCACAATCAATTATTCATATTATGTTCGAGGGCAAGCACACAGACTAAGAATTTCCATATACAATAAGAATTGAATGCGAGAATAGATTACAACATAGAATGAAAGAAAACTAATGAAAACACTTACCTTTTGTGAATCAGGAATACCTAACTTTACAACAATCTAATTTATTAATCACACTAACTGCACTCATTTTTTGACTGGACTAAATCTAAGTGGTGTCTACTTCCTATACCTCTTGAGTTAACCAAGCTCTATCAGTCTCTCTCACAGGCATAGTTTGCATGCTAAATGAATATATTATTTCACTTCTAGTGTGATAGCTTCTTCCCTAGGGTATACAATTATAAAACAGTTGCCTTTGTTTAATATGAAGGGAAAGTTTCATTTAAATATCAACTAACATAGACTTTCATGGATAGTTTCTTTTGTTGTTAAAAAAGTTGCATTTAAACATCATCAAAATCTTAAACTCATAACTTATTCCCATGATGCACAAATCTGGAAGGATTTTAAGGAATCCTCAAAACTTTTTTTAGGGAAACAAAGTTAACAGGGATAATTTAAATAAATCTATCATGTTCATAGTGTGAAATATATATTAACTTTCTTATGATTAACCTATGGAAAGATAAAAGATATTTAATGATGTGAAGTAAGAGTAGTTTAAGTCTGAACTTTTAGAAAGTGAAAGAAACATATTAAAGAAAATTGAATAAAGTGAAAATAAGCAGGGAAAATCCGTTGCAAATTAAGTGCAGTAAGAGCAGAACCTTTTCAGCCATTAACTTGTTCAGTGTCAGCATTTGTGTCCCCTCTTCTCCAAATTCAATGGCTTTCTATCTCTCATTCATCCTTCCATGTAGCTAAGGTTTGTGCTTTTTTTTACTTGCTTTGCTGTCATACCAGCTTTTACCCCTTTTATTACTTCTTTCTCTGCTGGAAACTAGGAATTATCCCACTTCTCTTTTTCTTTCTCACTGTTGCTTATGCTGTCACCAATTAATATTTCTCATTTTCTCTTTCTTTCAATATTATGCAATGTTGTGCTTTACAAGGTGAGTGACACCTTGCCACGGTTATGTAATATAGCAGTGCACACTTTTATTTTTCACATTTATTTTTTAAAGAAACAATTCTATTTGAGACACATTTGTATGTTGAATGTTGCTGTTTCTTTATATGATTTTGTTTAAGATTTGTTATTATTGTTTTTACCCTTAATTCTTTGGATTAGATACAGTAATCGTTGAGACAAACTAAATGGTGTAGTTGCACTTGCATGAATTGGTTATTACTGTTGGCATTTCAACTTATTTTTACCTTGTGAATAATTTCATTTCCATTTGTAATTGTTTCCTGTTCTAACTTTCTTTGATCATAAGATGGTTTAGAATAGGAAATGGGGGACCTCACTGGGGGTTTTGTTTGAAAAACTGAGAAATGATCTAATAAAGTAGGTAGGTAGGTTTTTATCATTTTGGTTAAGGAAGTTACTTTATCAGATGTTGCCAAAAATATAAGATGTTCTATATTTTCTTTTGTGTAAGGCTTTTTCCCCAAAGGTTTCTGTAAATCTTTTCCCCAAAGGTTGAGTGGGGTAAAGTCCATATTTAACTAATCTCTCACCTTCAAGTTTGCACAAATACATACTTATGTTATGTGACATACTGCACTTTTGCTTCTCTTTCTTTTTCACCTCTCTTTTGTGTGAAAATAGATACTTCACTGCAAGTCCGCAACTCTGAAAATCCTCAATCTCTTGGCTAGCAGCTGATAACTTTTATCCTAGTGCTTTGTTTCTTGTGGAATGCTTAGTATGACTAGCTCATCTCTGTCTTAGGTTCCCATCCAGCTAGTTTGGACAGACATCTAGATATAGCTAATTATAGTGGATCACCACACTGTCTTTGTTTCAATTTTATGATTTATATCCCTTATTTTGTACACTTTTTTCATTTCACTTTCCGAAACTCTTGTCCAATGAAACAGATGTTATATATAATATTGAATGCTTTAGCAACTAGTAATGCAGTAAGAGCATTATTTTTGCAATGTGATTAAGATGTTCATTTGACTTCTTCCCCTATCCTATGGACACCAATTAATAGGACGATATTTAAATGAAGGGGTGCATAGTTGAATTCATATTTGTCAATTAAGATGGGTGTTGTAAGAAGGTTCTTTTACTGCTGCAGTCTATCCTGTGAAAGAAAAATAGCAAAATTTGCTTTCATTGCTGATGATGATATGTTCTTAAGTGTCTCCAAGTTCTGTATTTTAATATTCTTCATCTCATCTGTGTAATTCCCTTTTTCCCTCTATGGTTGTCATTTTTACATCTGTGCTGACACCATAGAGAGACCTAGGAGAGCAACTATTTTTTGGTGTTTTCAGTATCATACATGCAATAGGCCATGAAATAGTTCCTATATCTGTCTCAGGATATCATGGACCTGATAAAATAGCTGCTAGAATTGAAACATTTCTTCATCTCCATCTCCATCTAAGACTATGTTTAGTCACTCTCAAAAAGTATGTTCACTGCTCTAAAATTACATTTCTCAATGTTAAACATACAGAAACACACTCTCAGTAACTGATTTTGAATAGGTTGAAGTTCCTTGAAAATTGGACTCACAGTTCTCAAATTGCATCTGATTATTTTCTCTTGTCAAAAGTACATGTTTCACTCCATTAATAAGAAAACATCCAAAGTCCAAGCACATGTACAGGGACACAATAAATGTCTGCCTTTGCCAGTGCTTATTTGTAAACGTTTACAAAGCATACTACTAATTAATACCATCAAATTTCGCACGCTGAACCACTTTTTAAGAAGATCTTATAGTTTGCATAGTCTAATTAAGTATAATGGTATATAAAACAGTTTATGTCAATCTTCACATTAATCACACGTACTCTTTTTAATTTTTATTTTATTTTATATTAATTGTATCAATTTTAAATAATAATTATTTTATAGTATTTTTATTTTATTTTAACAATTATTCATTTTTATTTTTTTATTATATTTTATATTTATAATTTTTATTATAATTTATGATAATCATGCTTAGTATTTTTTAAATTTATTATTACTAATAAAGTTATTATATTATAAAAATATTATTTTATTAAATTAGTTGGTTTAATCTAATTTTAAAAAACATTATTTAAATTTCAAACTATATTAATTTATTTAAAAAATATATCAATTTGTAAGGACATATTTATGAAAAATATTATAAATAACTCAAAATAATTTTTATTATATTTTAAATAAATAGTACTACATCACATAATTTAATATATTGATAATCTCTTCGAAAAAAATCACGTCAATTTTTTTCATTAATATAATATTAGTAAAATCTTAAATTTGTATATTTATTATTATTATCATGAAATTATTAAATAAGAATTATAAGATTAATGTTTCGAAAAATTGAGTCGTCTACATATCAGTTATTTTTCAAACAAAAATAAGATTTTATTAGAACCCATACGTCTATAATTTTTTTTATTTGACTTCAATTTGTATAACTTAAAAGAAAATGAATTATTGAATTTTTTTTTAAAACTTGGAATCTTATATAAAATTCAGTTCTAAACTTTAATAACTGTATGGTATCGCACCATCATAAAATTCATTTAAGACATGGGTCCAAGGAAGATTTGGAAGGGAAACAAATACCTAAAAACGAAGGTCATTTATTTGAATGGCATAGTCCATGGTTTATGATTTGTCCTGGTTAAGGGAAACCCCCCTACCACACTTGTTCAGACATGAAAATATATTAAAAAATGGTAAAATGCAGACTCAACTTTTCTGGAAAGAGAGAGTAAAATCTCACAATTTCTTGCACGTAAACTAAACCGTCACTATCTCACACGTCAGATTTAGTATTTAATGTTGAGTGAGATGCAAAACGCACTAAGTATTGCGTTTGGTGTTCAAATTCTCTTCCAACCACTGCAGACTTTTGTGCACAATCCAACCCTAACTTTATTCTCCTGCATTTGCATTTCATTACGAAATTTGGTTTCCCACTCCTACACTCTCACGTCTAATAAGTTTTCAATAAACTATTAGATGTTACTTGTAACTATGAAATTTCCCTCTCACTATGCATGCACTTAAGAATCAATCTATTTATCTCAATTTTATAAAATTAACATGTAAAATTTAACTCTTGCATTTGAAGACTTTTGTCCCTACAAAATATAAAAGGAAAATTGCATATTTAGCTTGATACGATGCTTTACAATAGATTCCAAAAATGGAAAGATACAGTGTATATCTAAAGAATTTTTGTGGCTCACATAAATGGTTTGATGTTAGATTAGCTCCAGTAGTATAACTTATCTGAAGAAAATTAAATTGTTATATGCATCATAATACCGACAAATTAATGTTGATGCAAAGTTTCCTCAAGTGCAGAAATGCAGAAGAAAATGAATGTATGATTATTGAATGAAGAAACTTTTATAATGTAGTAATATATATTACTGCATCGTGATAAGACATGGTCCATCAATAATTGAAATTATTATATGAGCAAAGCCCACCAAACCAATGCTCACAGTTAATAACTAAATGATGTTGTGACGTGATCATTGAATTATTACTATATATCAATAAGCCATCCATCAACACTTTTATTCCTTTTCTTCTTCCTCTTCATCTTATCCTCCTCTTTCTTCATGTTCTTGAAGAATTAGAATTTATGGCAGTTAATAGTTATTCTTCAGCTCAAATCTCACTTCAGAAATATGGTTTATTTCTGAAATATGCAAACAAAGAATTCAATTCCAAATCTTGCTCTGTCCCACAGAAAAAGGCACCAGTTGGTCCAGTAGCATTGAGAATCACAGGATCCATCAAGAACAAGGTCAATATTTTAATCATATTTCTTTTATACTACATGCTAGGCTTTTTTGATGGTTACTCTTATCCAAATTGAAGAACCACACCCTTAGCAAGTCCTACATGGTTACAATAACGACAGAAATTAGACTGTGAGTTTAAGGTTTTCTGTGTTGATTGATGTCTATTTTGCTACTAAACAGATTTATGAGGACAAATCTCAGGGCATGATTTGCTATGAAGATGAGAGTGGAGAGATAATTTGTGAAGGGTACGATGAAGGGCCTCGATATCAACGAATTCCAAGGCCAACCCATCACACAAGGTAGAGAATCTTATCCAACCTAGTACTTAACTCCCTCACTGATAAATTATTAGGAAATCAATCTGTATGAGAAAAAATTAAAGAAGAGAGAAGTAAAGGCACTTAATTACATAGTAGTCCTGGACCATTCCTCACCTTGGAGAAGAGAGAGAAGGTATTCAACTCTAAATTAATACTTTTGTATACTCATCTGACTACAAAAGGGATTTTCATTTGTTGGGTTCAGGGATGTCGAAATCATGAATCTTCTGCAACAACAAAGTTGGCTTCAGATTGTTAAAGGGGAAGAAATCAATCATTTAGCTAAAGGAGTTCTTCGTCTACAAGAGGATTTAAACTAAAACAAATGGCTTTAACTTGTTCCAAACCATCAGTCTTTTGTCACACTCAAAGGCCTCAACAGTTACACGCAGTGCTAATATGTAGCAAAAAGGAATAATAGCACAAAAATATGCTGTAATTGGTGAATCAAATAGGACAAGTGCTGTCTTCAGCACAGTTCATGCCAGTTGTACAAATTGAAGTGGTGATGCTTTTTCTTAATTGTTTTTCTTTTTCGATCTTTCCATACAGTTTCACATCAGAATTTCATATTATCTGCTAGAAAGGAGTTAATTATGATTCACAAAGCAAGCAAGGAATTTGGCTGTGGATAGGACAGATTCTAGCTATATTAGCAGGAGCTTAAATCTTTGAACAGTTTTACATTATCATCCAATAATTTGTTGACTTTTATGACAATTACATTAGAAATCATTCTAATAGTTTTTTTAATTAATTAACAAATGAATTTTCTTTTACAACCATTAAAATAAATAGTCTGGTCTGTATGATTGCAAAAAAGATAAATTTGGAAGAACAAAAGAAAACAAATGAAGAGGCCAAGTAGGGAGTGGGAGCTACTTTTTGAGCTAGGTGGAGCTATGGCTCCTCAAGAATTTCATAAAAAATCTTCTTCATTTAACAGTCTTGTTTTATTCTGGTTAAAATAACACAACTCTGCCTTCAGTCTAGGGAATCTTTTATCTGTCTTGCTAAATGAAACTGACATGCTTCACCTAATAAACATACAGTTTTTCATATTTATTTGTAATTAAACTTATTTTATATTTCTGAACACATATACTATGATTGTGATTTTATGTTACAACACGAGGGATACAAAGAAGATAGTTATATTTTACTGGAACAATTCTATCAGCTATAACAATCTTACTTGAGTGGAATGTTGGGTGTGATAATTATAGAAGATAATTTAAAAAAAATATATTTAAAGTTGCTGCATATTACCCGTGCCCACCCTACTATAATCATGAGTCAAAGCATCTTTAATAATTTGCAGCTCAAAGGAAAAGAAATGATGAGGATTGTGCTATGATTGGTATAGCATGGAATATCTCTGTCAGATAAGTTCTGCACACAGTGCTAAGGGATGAGAGTGCTGTTTTAAAGGGTTTCTTTTTACTTGGAATATCTAGGTAACATCCACATTTCAAGCCAATAAGAATAGCCATAAGTTCTGTCATAATATTTGTAGCAGTAACAAAATTTAATTTTCAAGACACAAACTTGTATTAACATATGCATATCTTTCTTTGCAGAAAGTGTTATTTTGGTGAATTTTTAATTAAACAAGTAGATGAATCTTGATCTTTAGTGTTATTATTTAATATAAATCATAATTTTGAACCTTTTATTCAATTGCAATTGCAATAATGAAAAGATACTAATATATTAAAGACTAATACAGTTTTAAATAAGTGAACATGAAACTATAATTAATTCGTTATTAAAAGTTAAAACAATTTATTGATTTTTTTTTTATCCAAATCTTGCTATCTTTTTTCATTAACATTTGTAATTTTTAGTGTTTTCTACAATTCTAGTTTTACAAAATATACTACATAAATTCATCAAAATTCAAACTATAAAATCTGAAGCAAAGCACAACATGGGAATAGCAATGAAAGTTGAGAAATTGAAGTCATATACATGTATAGAACGTGTTGCTAGAACGTTACTATAGGTTTTTGTACAAAGATTTCATCCAGAGGTCATCAAATACTTTTACCCCAGACAAACATCCTTGGCTTACTAACAGCCCCTCTTTTGGTATATTTCTAACAAATAATTGATAATATCTAGTTGACAAAATTACAAATGAACCAAAAGAATTCCTATATATTTTAAGAGGGGGAAACAAAAATTTTGATATAAAATTATGGGGGAGTTAATTAAGTAAAATTTACACAAACACAAAACCAAAGAAAGAATCATTCAGCTGGGGTCCGAGATTGTGTGCTGTCTTCACCTAAATCAGACTGGGAATTACTAGCAGCAATAGAAGGAGGAGACCACTGATCCGGAAGCATGAGAAAGTAAGTGGTCATTGCTTTCCTGAACCTTTTCTTGTATTGCTTAGGAGATATAACTGTTGGAGGTGTGTTCTTTGGTCCTCCAAGTATGCCTGAAGCTTTTACCCATGTTTCAAGATGCTTGTCCCAGGTGTACTGCCTCATGAAATCAATGATTCCAATAACCAACTCATGCTTCTCTTCATCAACCCCAACTAGTAAAGAATAGTCCATTACATCAACTGACTGCACAATAGGAAACATATGCATGTGAGAAGGACATAAGATGATGCTCATTTTGCAAGAAAATATCCGATCCAGGCACCTCCTAATCTAAGCAAGAAACAAGAAACAGGAGACAATTAAGTGAAGGAAGAATGTCACAGACAAAAGTTGAGACTTACAGCGAGGAAACCAGTGTCATTCCAGACAGCTCGCTCTAACAACCGTTTTGCTTTGTTTCCCACGAATATAGGAGAAGTTGGCATCGCTTCAATTAAGTTCTGGTCCAGTAGAACTTTGTTTTTCCCGGTAGAATCTGCATTATACCGAGACCTGGAAGATCCTTTAAGATCGTAAAGTCGTGTTACAGTCCTCCTAAACAGAAGATTCTCCATAACCAAAACATCCATCCTTGATTCTTTTCCTCCTTTAAGATGCTTTGATGTAACCTTTCCAATAGAATAATGCCTTTCAAACATCTTAATGTAATATAGGTATCAAGTGAAGCAAAATACAGAATTATATACCATCTAACCAACTATTAATACACTAAAAAAAAAGATTATTCATTTCATGGTTGGCCATTCCATCTCATTTTTAGTCATCATATATTTAACACATTAAAATTCGTGTTCATCTAATGTTTTGGTATTTAGCTTACTTATAATCATCACCGCTCTTTTAAATGATACATGACTGTTTAAAATTCTATCTAGGCTTGATTTCTACTAAATTTTTCAGTTTACAAATAAACCTAAAAGGAAAAACAAATGCAAGCTAAAAAGACAAGTACCTGGTATATGCCAAGAATCTTTGCCAGGCACGTTGGACTTCCAGTGGCTATAGATTCAGAAAGATACTTGAAGTATTCAGGACCAAATTTTATGAATGATTCAAGCTCTGTTTTTGTAACTTGTTTGATGATAAATCGATCATCCAATGTTTTTGCAAAAAATACATTACTCTTCCCACCTTGAGCTCTCCACTTCTTACAGCGACTCAGAGACCTTATATAGTCAAGCTCTGAAGGACAACACACCCTTCTTAAGGCTTCAAAACGCTTGGCAGAGTAACAAGTCACAGAATACTTTACCTTGCCCAGGGGACCGTCTTCTCCAAAGGAAACTCTGGCATGCAAAGCCTTATTGTATGACATTGGGTCAAACATTGATGAACTACGAGACCCAGACATGGAAAATATCATTTCCTCTATCGATCCAAAACTTTTCTGAGAATCAAAGGCTGTTTCATCAATAGAAGAGAATGACTGGAAGGTGCCTGAGTCAGAAAAATATGATGAAGCAAACTCATTTCCTTCTCTTGGCCTTTCTCCTTCATCAGTCAATTGGAAATGATATTCTGGCGACATTAAGGCATAAGCTATAATACTTGAGGGTTCATCATCATATACAGTAATTACAGTCTCATTTACACCAACTGGCAGAAGCAGCCTTGCCCCACCCTGGAGTTCCTGCTTCCGGAAAGATGACATGTAAACAGGATTGTAGTCAACTAGGGTATCAAACTTCTGTGTACTAGCAAAAAGGTTCTTGTTAAATTGCCGATAGAAGTTCAAGAAGGGCATTCCTAACCAGCTTGAAGAGTCTTCCATATTATCATGACCTTTAAAAGAAGAATAAAAACTCTTGGAACCATTTTGATCTTCAAGGCGATCCCCTAGATAATATGTTTCTTTCTGTACACTAGTCGACAAAGCATCTGCCGTGAGTATATCAGGATTTATAGAACTGTTATCCCTTTGAATTCCAAATCCAGGGCGATTTTCACCAGTCCATTTTGCATCAAGTGTTTCAGACAAACTAGGTATGACAGGAAATGGCCCATCAGAGAGAGATCTGTGAACACCGAATTCAGGTTCCAAGAGATCAGATTGATCAATTATGCTTTTGCTGTTTGAAATAGGTCTGTCATCTTTCTCATTATTTTCCTTTTTGGTCATGTCACTTTCTTGATGCAATGCATCATCTTGTGAGATTTTTCCATCAACCACTACGGTTCCTCCTCCAAGACTAGGACTTTCATTAAGCTTTGGATCACCATGGATAGAGTTGATGCTCATCTGATTTTCATCAGTAGCTTTATCCTTATCCTCTGAAATTGGACTGCTTGAACCAGATCCATTGCTGGAATTGGCCAAGTTTGCTGCATAAATAAGGCGGTGATCCCACATGTATGATTGAAAAATTAACTGCCTCCACAATCGATTAATTTCCAGAATGTCAATCCCCGGTTGGCCATTCCTCTTTTCTTGGTTCAAAATCTTTTGAAGAGTTTCCTAAGTAATTAGAAGAGAGAAAGATTCAACTACAGCCTTTCAAATCAAACTATTTATATGTTGTTTCAAATTTTATAAAACTTAAAAAAGTATCCAGTCCAGTAAAACTTCTAACCAAAAAATTACTAGTAACAAAAAGATATTGCTAAACAGAAATTTTCTAATATTCTAACACATGGATGGTTTTATATCAAACAGCTACTAGTCGCAAAATTAATCACTAAACCAGGCCACTACTAGAGAAGGATGGACTTAAATAAAGCTATAAATTAAAGTATAATACTGAAGACCCCACCTCAAATTCTAGTTTCTCCTTTTGCAACATGCCCTCTAGTTCAGCAATTTGGCGTCTTAACTCAGGTGTTTTATGGCCATTACTGATTTGAACTGCATTAGATCTTTTTTCTCCAATTTGACTAAGACCATTGAGTACCTCAGAGAATAAAAGCTCTGCCCGGTTGACCACCTG